GTGAACTCACTGTGTAGCCTGTGCTGATCTTGAACTCTTGACCATCCTCCTGCCTCAGCTTCCCGAGTGCTGGGATTACAGACATGTGCCTCTTTCACAGTTTTATTTATTTATATTTATTTACTTATTTATTTTGGTCTTTTTCAGACAATGTCTTGCTATGCAGTTCAGGCTGGCCTTGAGATCACTTTGTAGCCCAGGCTGGTCTCAAACTCACACCACGCCTCCTGCCTCATCCTCGCAGTTCTGGGATTCGGGGGTGAGTCCCCACAGCCAGCCTAAACTTGTAGTAAGACCTTGGCAGATATAAAATTCATTGTTACTCTCTCTTCCCAATAGGCAGTGTGGCCTCTTGAGAGCTTATTCTTTCCTCTGAATTTAATTAAAGACTCCCAATAAGCTCTATGTTAGTAATTTATTTTTCTAAGCGTTAAAGACCCAAAGCCTGTATCACCAAATAAAGGCCGCAAGTTAGCGGCCACAGAACCACTGGATTCAGGGCATTTGTAACCTACCCATCCACTAGTAGAACAATCACAGATTACTCAGATGGTTTAAATTCTTTAAATGCCAGAAAAGTTATTTCACTGCTCATTAAAAGCTGTGCCGAGATGACACCAAACATCTGGCTGATACAAACAATGCAGCACAAAAGTTGGCGAGTTTTATCTCCGTGATAGCAAACATCTGTCCCTGAGAGCACTCCCTGGCAGAGACTTGACAGGCATCTTCTATTTTTAGCCAGCTGTTTGCTGTCACACCGCCTTGGCTCAGGGCTCAGAGCTTTTCACCGTGAGACAGTGAGCACAGTTATCCCTCAGCTGAAGGTCACTGTGAATGCCAGCGCGGCACGCAAACAAGCAGAGACGCACCCAAACATACCCTTCAGGTTGCCCCTGGTGGCAGTCTTGTCCTTCCAAGTGGGTGCACAGTGACAGTCTTTCAACCATAGCAGACACACAATAAACATCAAAAGTGGCAGCTTCATGTTGTCACTGTTACTGCGAAGGAAAAATAAACCCACATCAAACGCCTTCCGTGCATGCTCGTTTCTGTCGGCACTAGTTGAAAACACATGCTGCTCCAAAAGCATTTTTCCTCATGACTTCAGACATCTCACGCTAATATGCTCGGGACCCAAGGAGGCTTAAAATATATATTAAACATTAAAAACCGAATCCCCATTTAATTTCCAATCTTCATGACAATTATACAAGGTCATCATCTGAGTACTTGAAAACCAAGTAGGGGTCATAGTCCCATAGACCCCAAACTTCATTTCTTGTCAACCGTCAACATCTCTAAAGACAGAATTAATGAGATTGTGTCAGGTTTTTTCCTCCAAACTTCTGAGTCCTCAAACAAGTTCATTTTTTAATGAGAACAAAAAGAGCTGCATACATTTTTACTTCATGCATTTTTCTGCTTCATGTATTTTTATCATACTTATAAAGCTATGTGTTATATGAATAGTTAACAGCTAAATTTTTCTTTATTTTAAATGCCATTTGATATGCCTTATAAATATTCCTCATGCAAATATTTAGATCCTTACAAGAAGTTAAATTAAAACAACT